TTTGTCTTTTTATCCTCATTCCAAATTATCAGAAAAGAGGAAACCAACAATAAAACAGGAGAAAATGCTAAATTATTACTATACTATATAGTAGTAAAACGCATGTGAACAGTAGCCTACTTTTTGATCAGTTCATCAGTAATATTCAGGAAATAATAGATATTGAATGGTGGTTTGAACTTATTTGCATGTTTTTTTTTGTTGTCTTTTTATCCTCATTCCAAATGATCAGAAAAGAGGAAACCAACAATAAAACAGGAAAAAGTACTCAATTATTACTATATTACTATACTATATAGTAGTAAAACGCATGTGAACAGTAGCCTACTTTTTGATCAGTTCATCAGTAATATTCAGGAAATAATAGATATTGCCCTGCCACCACCATCCCCATTGGGCAAAGTGTCGAAATGATCGCTTGTTTGTGCTTCGTGAACACTCTTGCCTTGCACGGCGACACCATTGCGCTGCAAAGATGAACCGGGAGAAGCGCGATCATTAGACGACCGATCGTCATTTCCAAAAGGCAAATATTCCCCTTCAGAGTCAAAATCGGCGACGTCTTGTCGCAATTTTGCGACTTTGGCGCTTAGAGGGTTAAGTTAAAGCATGGCATGGTCTCAAAGTGTTAGTTTGCCCACCACTGCATTTCACAATATGCAGCCTCTATTGGCGTTATTAATTTATTGATATTTATACTTCTATTTTAGTGTTCGATGGTGCCAATAACTGTGCCATGTTTTCTATGGCAAAGCCTATTGGATCTGGGCTTCCTGTGTTAAAATGTGTAAGGTTTTTGACTTAGTAACATTAGTAGTAGTTGTTCATTCAGATGTTACTAAAGCCAATTTTGAAGATGAAAGCCATAAAGTAACAATAATAAACTGTGATGCTGAGTATTTATCGATTACCTCGGAAATCAAACGCGAATGAAAACTGCTGCCGCGAATGCGTCGCTATTCCCGCGAGAGGCGAACACACTCATGCAAACGCTATCTACAAACTCAGGTAAATGGTGAAGTATTCACATCCCCCTCAGTAGTCGCATCACGATGAGCAAAATCTGTCTCCTCGTGAGACGAGCGTGTTCAATTCATGCTTATCCCTCACAAGAAATAAGCAATGAATGCAGAGCGCATCCAACTCCCTCGAGAGCTTAACGCGCTTGCTCTTCACCACACACACACACACACACACACAAGGTGAGAAAACATGCACTCCTAGTCGTGTTTAGCTTAACGCTAACATAAACAAACGGTCAGTGAAGACGAAGAAGAGGATGACGTGTTATCCCGGATCCCTTTTATACTGTGATCGCGCAGGGTAATGATGTCATAGGCTGTCGCCAGCCAATGTTATTGTCGTGTTTAGATGTATGCTTCAGACACCGGTCACGCTGAAGGCGTTCCCCATAGCGACCCCTAGAGGATGCAGTTTGAAGTTCCCTCGAAAGGGAACAACAACTTTCTTCTGTCAGGTTGTTACACAAGCACATTATTTTACATTATGCGGTAAATGCTCACAATGTAGTCATTGTCTTCATCTTTTGGGCCCTGGCTGTAGTACACTCTGTAGGCTCTGGACACTTGGTCAACCTGGGCAGTTGTGCCTGTCAGACCGAGCAGCTTGGGGGAAAACTCTGCATGTGAGATATTGAAAATGTAAACAACGAGGAATCATATCACAGCATTCGGTGAGTGTCGAGTGATAAAGATGACCCCTGCTCACCTTTGACATAGGCTGCCAGTGCTTCTGGTGTGTCTCTATCAGGATCAATGGTGATGAGAACTGGTGTTATGTCTGGAAGTGTTTTAATTCTATCTGTGACAGAAAAGTAACAGGTTTTGCTTAAACATGGTTCTTGTACTATTTTTCCTTATAATAAATGCTACTTTGTGTGATTTTTTATTTGATGTAATAATACAAGAATATTAATGTAATTTAATAATAAAATGTAAGATTTACAAAGCCCATCTGAATAAACAAATGTATTATATTATACATTCATACATGTTTAGTGGTAGCTTCATGTATGACTTAAAATGGTTTACATTTATATTAAAACTTAAAATTCTGCAAACACATGAAATCGAGGTTTAAACTTGATTTTCTTTTGAATATAAAAAAATGTAAACCCCTATTTCATTGCAAAATGTACTTATCAGTAATGAACTCTTGTTGTATTAAAGAACATCCAGTTCTCGAAATGTCTGGAATCACAAAAATAATTAGTGGTTCATTCATTTAATATATTGTCACTCCCAGTTTATGTTAATAAAAAAGTTGAAGTAGTTTTGTCGAAAGAACAAACTACAGCAGAACATACTGGTGTAAATATTATCATTTATATGTGTTGGAGAGTGGGGGGCCTTTAAGTCAGAAAGGTTGAGAAAACTGCTTTTTACTTATATAGCACATTTCCAAAGCCCAGTGACACTCTAGTATCACTAAAAATTATATGAAGTATCCAAATACTTAGGGGCCACTCTATCAGCTTACATATGAGAAGTGAATCAACGCTGACAGGCTCTTCATAATAAAAAAGAAAATGAAATGCTACATTACCAATCTCATCGACAGCCTCAATCATCTTCTCCAGTTCATCAGGACAGATGTCTGGACAGTGCGTGAAGCCGAAATAGATCAGCAGCCACTGGCCGAGGAAATCCTCACTCTTTGTGGGTTTATTGTTGTGGTCGACGAGTGAGAATGGACCTCCAAGTGCTGCTTTTCCCATCGACTTTGTTCTTTCTTTCTCAATCACTACAACACCAAAAACACATGAATGATAATGCTGTCTTTATGATGTGGAGCATTCGCATATAATAAGAATGCCAAAACAATGCAGTGCTGTTCCGATGCATAAATCCATGTCCTTACTTTCCTCTTTTTCTCTCTTGAAGTATTTCATCCCTAGAAGAAGACCTCCTCCAAACGCAAATGTGATAGCAAGAGATTTCCATGTAACTGGCTGTGGAATAGAGAAATGAATTATGCTCTACTTTATCGAGCAGCAAATCAGAGTGATTTCTGAAGATCATGTGACACTGAAGACTGGAGTAATGATGCTGAAAATACAGCTGCGCATCACAGGAATAGATGACACTGTAGTGCTGTAAATGAAGCTTACACCGCTCTTCCGGTTGCTGGATTGGTCTCTTCTGGATGAAGGTGGTGGAGGCAGAGTGGACAGGGGCCGTAGGTTCACACATGGTGCTGTCCTACACGTCCCAAACTGAAGAAGAAGGTCACACAGAGTAAATGAAAATGCTGGAGGAGCAGACACACCTACACATAAACATCATTTATAAAAGGGACACAATTTCGACCAATGGTTGTCAACCTGGGGCCCACTATATAGGGGCCTCAGCACACTTCTAAGGGGCCTACGGGATGATTTTAAATGGTTTAATTTAATTTTAAATAATTAAACTTAACATTGAAAACAAGGAGCTTTGTCGGAACATACCAATAGAAATATTACCACTTTTATGAGGGGCCTTTGAGTCAAAAAGATCGAGGACCACTGATTTAGACAATTTGTGACCCTGGAGCACGTCTTAAGTCGCTGGGGTATATCTGTAGCAATAGCCAACAATACATTGTATGGGTCAGAATTATAGATTTTTCTTTTATGCCAAAAATCATTAGGATATTAAGTAAAGATCATGTTCCATGAAGATATTTAGTAAATTTCCTACTGTAAATATATCAAAACTTCATTTTTGTTAGCAATATGCATTGCTCAGAACTTAATTTGAACAACTTTAAAGATGATTTTCTCAATATTTAGATTTTTGTTGCACCCTCAGATTCCAGATTTTCAAATAGTTGTATCTCAGCCACATATTGTCAGATCCTAACAAACCATACATCCATGGAAAGATTATTTATTCAGAAATTTCGAAAAATGGACCCTTGTTACTGGTTTTGTGGTCCAGGGTCACATATATGCCAGTGACCTTACATTTAAAGGTATAATAACACAAATGAATATAAAAATGATTCCAATTAAACAGACAACACGTCAGCCACACTACTTACTTTAACAGTTACACATAAACCCGCAGATATATATTTGATAGCATTTATGAATCAGCCAGCGACCTACCAGTGTGTTGGTCCGTGACAGCACTGATCTCGACACACTGCAGGGACTTTGGACATTATAACATTTCCTGACACATATCGATCTGAACGTCTGGCATCTTAAACTCTTTAAACGTAATACTCCTGCTAAACCCGCAGCGCTGAGAGTTAGCATCATGCTTCCTCAACGCGGAAGTGACTGTCTGGTTTACGCGACCTAAACGCCGCACAAAAGTCGCATACAAACGACTGACCCCGAATCAGCTGTTAAGAGTCCAGGCGCGAACTCAACGGCGATCAAACTGACACGAGCTGATCTGAGGTCTGTTATGAACGACGTGAAACATATCGGATATGACGTGTGGTTACCGCACTTCCTATTATTAAAATGTTAAAACCCGATAAAACGGAAAATAACACCTCAAGAGAGTGTGATAAGCCCTTTATTATTTAACATTATGATTAATTATGTATTTGAAGAAGTGCCTCCAGGAATTAATACGGCTTTATATGCTGATGATGGAATAATGTGGAAAAGAGGAAGAAATGTATCTTTTAATTTGGATAGAATTCAAGAAGCAATAGAGATAGTAGAAAGGTGGTCTTTAGAATGGGGGTTCAAATTTTCATTATCCAAAACATATTACCAGATATTTACCAGGAGGAAAATTAAAGGAAATAAGCAGCTTAAACTTTATGGGTCTGCATTAGTATAAGTATCTAATTTTAAATATTTGGGAATGTGGTTTGATGATAAATTAACTTGGAAAGTCCACATTGATTATATTATAAAGAAATGTAGTAAAGTATTAAATTTAATGAGAGGGGTTGCAGGACAACGGAAAATAACCCCTAAAAAGATTGCACTTTTTAAAATATAAGGGTATATGAAATACTCATGCTTTTAATAATAACTACAATCGTTCAAGGGAAGTTACAAACATTGTAGTTTGCCATGGCTGTGAACACGCTGCTGTTTAAATCAAAGTAAGTGTTATTGCTATATATTATTATTACTGTTAACTACCTTATTTGACAACAAGTTAACGATCATCTCATTTGTTTGTTTAGTTATGCAGTCTCCAGCCAAGTAAAGTACAGGTAAGTTAATAATTTAGTACTTGTGAATTACAGCTGTTATATCTGCATATTTTACGTGTTTTGTTTCTCCATCCAGATAAGTCACGATGAGCAGTACATAGTTTGCACATGTGGTCCAAAAGTCAACATTTTACAGATCAATACAGGAAAAATCCTCCATAGCATTGAGCAGGTCAGTGTCTCTAACGGGTTTTGTTTTTGAATGCGTTTCTTCAACTATGGGCTTAACTTAAAACACACTTTAGTTTATTTAGTTTGTCTAAAAAAAACAGTTAACACACACCCATCACAGGATAACTTTTGTCCTTTTTTCTAATAAATAAATTAATTACTTAATTAATAATTTGGCAATATTGCGAATATTGAAATGGTTTAGGAGTGTTTACAATTTTTTTTTCTCCAGTTTTTCAGTTTTGCTTTCGTAAAACGTCGTGTTTCAGACAACATCCAAAATACAAATTTACCCGTTTATTTTATTACGCTTTATCTATTTGCTCCTGCACATTTAAAGGCCATTAATGAATTAAAAGGCCATTTAAGTGCACTTAAAGAGAGACACTTTCATGACTATGTTACTTATAGTTAGTAGAATGTCTGAAGTGAACTTAAAGTGTAATAATAAAATCATTCCCTTAATTTTTTCCCCAAAATTTCCTCTGTAAAAAACTCTAATATGTCAACAAAATGAAACAAGATCTTTGAACCTAGCTTTATCCAGTGTTCGGTTTCTGTTCTGGAAATGTATGCAAACAAGTGCACATTTAATTAGAAATTGCCTTACTTGTGTATTTAAACGTAACATTTCAGGAAAACTCGTAATACAAAATAATTATTTGAATGTCCTGTGATTAATCAGCTGGGAACAGTATGGTTAGATCTATTAGTTAACGTTTTTACTCTATTCACACTTACCTTAAAAGTAGTAATATTTTTATAATGGATTATGTATGGGTCTGAGATGAGCATCAAACAATAAATTGCATAAATATACGGCCTTTCGAAAAAGAGCGGTGTGATTAAGCGATGGTAGCAAGCTTTAATGCGAACGTTATTTAACAAAAATGAAAAAAGGTGATCGACTTAGTTTTAATAAAAATCGGCCACTGTGATATTAGGGCTGTCAAAAAAAAATAGAATTTCGAATATTCGTCGAATTTAAAATAAAAATCCACATTCGAATGCAAAAACGTTGCTTTTGAATTTTAGGTGTGCGTTAAGGAGGCAGCGTTATCAGACGCGCACGAGATGCGATGACGATGTAAGTGTCGATGCATTTTAATGTTTTTGTTAACCTATCCAGTTGAAGCCACTAGATGCGGCGCTGCTGCGTTGTTAATTATAAATATCGCGGGAAAATAGAACATCAATGCGGAGAAGATCATGTTTACGTCAAAACTGAAACCAAGCCGTTCACACAGAACACATATTTCACGCATTTTCTAGCGGGACATCTATCAGCGCTGCACTCGCGTCTCGCACAAAAGAGCGATGCGAGTTCAACTTTGAAAAAACATATATCAAAACTTTATGGCGGGTTTTTTTCCCCATCGCACTGCAACTTGTGTTTTTAAATGAAAAAGTACTCTTTGTGATTAGTTTTCGGTCCTTTGTATTAAACTATGCATACATGCATGATGCTGTTTTGTTTATAGTTGTTTAAGCAACTTAATTATAATTGGTTTATAAACACTATTTTAAACATTATGCACTTTGAATAAACGTGCATTAGTAATATTTTGCTCGATGCGCCCTCTTGTGGCCTCAAGAGAAAAGCCAAAAGCTTTTCTTCACCCTAACTGAAATTATGCATTTTAAATTCGAATATAATTCGAATTTTGATAATATTTAAGTACAAAATTCAAATTTAGTTTTTCAGCCATTTTGACAGCCCTATGGGATATAAAAGTGCCCAAAATTAAAGAAGCGCTCAAATCTGAAACATGACTGCGCATGTTTGCCTGTATTTCTCACTTTAGTTTTCTCTGAGCAGGATGATCAAGAGGACATCACCTCATTCTCTCTCAGTCCTGATGATGAGGTGAGATCATTCGCTGCTCTCTCTTTCACTCAGAGCTGTCTGATGCTTCAGCATTGGTCTTGTAGACTGAGGTTGTTTCTGCTGTTTCTCTGCAGATGCTGGTGACCGCCAGCAGGGCTCTGCTCCTGAAGCAGTGGGACTGGAAGCAGGAGAAGTGCACTCGGTTGTGGAGGGCCATCCACAATGTGCCTGTGGCCAGCATGACCTTTGACTGCACCTCCACCCTGTTGGCTACAGGTCAGACATTAAGCAGATCTTTGAAGCAACGAGTAGCTCTAAACAACAGTGTTGGTGTCAAGGCATGTCTTAATAATACAGCAAAATGTCATACTAAGATATGTTGATTTGAATGCTTGTTTTTGATTACTTTACTCAGCACTACCCTTGTGAAAAAGGACACTTTAGAAACTTTACAAAGAGTAATTATTTTGTTTAAAAAATAAGTGCAACTGCAATTAAATTGCAATTAAATAAATGTATTAATTTAAGTATACATACTTCTGTTGTCTTTGAAATATGTTTAAAGTGTACTGTTGAATGTACAGACGAACATTTAAGATCAATTAAAATATGCTTTAATGTCATTTCTATTGAAACGTGTAAGTCATGTATTGGAATATATTTGTAATGATGAAGTTGCAATTTAGTACATTTAAAATATATTAACTTTAAATGTATTATCAAATAACTCATTACGGTTAAAATTATAATCAAGTGCTTTACATGTGCTTTAGTATGTTAGTCAACACATCAAAACAAGTGTACTTCTTCAAAGCATGACGAAAGATGATTAAAACATAATGATTTAAAATGCACTTTAAAGTAAAACTTTGAATTTGGCATTATTACAAAGTGCACTTAAAAGTATGTTAAGAAACATGAGGCATTTAAGTGCACTTAAATGGCTTTTTATTTCAATAATATTACATTGTCTGTAAGTAATTTTTTTTTTAAGCGCGCAATTAAGCGCGCTTCTTTGTCATGGCCATTTGTGACCCTGGAGCACAAAAGCAGTCATAAGGGTCAATTTTTCAAAATTGAGAATTATACATCATCTGCAAGCAGAATAAATAAGCTTTCCATTGATGTATGGTTTGTTATGATGGGACAATATTTGGCTGAGATACAACTATTTGAAAATCTGGAATCTGAGGGTGCAAAAAAAATCTAAATATTGAGAAAATCATCTTTAAAGTTGTCCAAATGAAGTTCTTAGCAATGCATATTACTAATCAAACATTAAGTTTTGATATATTTACAGTAGGAAATTTACAATATATCTTCATGGAACATGATCTTTACTTAATATCCTAATGATTTTTGGCATAAAAGAAAAATCTATAATTTTGACCCATACAATGTATTGTTGGCTATTGCTACAAATATACACCAGCGACTCAAGACTGCTTTTGTGCTCCAGGGTCACATATGTTGTTGTGTTCGTAGGTGGTTGTGATGGCAGCATCAAGCTGTGGGATGTTGTGAAGCAGTACTGCACACACAATCTGAGAAGATCGTCTGGTGTTGTACAGTAAGTACTGAAGAAACTTCAAAAATTTTAATCTGCTTTTGCGATCGTCTCTCTGTTTGTAATACTGCCACAGCTGGTTGTTATTAGGGATGCACGATATTATCAGACCTATATCGGGAATCGGCCGATAATGGCTTTAAAAGTAAATATCGGCATCGTCCCGATATGAAAGTTTATGCCGATATGTCTTGCCGATAATAGGAATACATTAACTCACATGTGCTAGCGATTAGATCACATCAACAGTGTGACTCATTCTTGAAGCAAAGTTTTGTCTGAATGATGATTAGTTGCACTGTTTTGGATCTGCATTTAAACTGAGAATGCACATACAGAATGAGCCTTCGGTGTATGATAGAGTAAACAGTAATAGCACGTGCAGCGGCATCTCCCCTGGGTCCTAATGCCCGTTTGATAAGGAGTTTTAATTCCGTAGGGGGCGCTGTTGGCCTACTTTTAATGAAATGAAAGTAAAATACACAAATAACAATTAGACTGTTTCTGATGAAATAAAGCTGTAATTGATCTCATAAAATCATGAGTATGTTT